AGTTGAGATTTTGTTTGTGGCTGGTTACATCGCACAGCGTCACGGCCAAAAAAGGCTAAAACCAAGAACCTCGGAGTACAAAGTTATTGTCAAGAATTGGTAGTAAACACTCCATTTAGAATAAATATGAAAAAAATAAATAAATAGTTATATATCTGGAGACTTTGAACTTTGCAGCAGTAAAATTTTATAATATTGAGGGTCGCGGTTTACAAATGACATGTGGTCAAATTCAAAAATTCCCATTTTTGTGAATATAATTTATATCTGAAAAAATTATACGACATTGATATGCGTCAAAATATTAACATGAAATGAAGGTCAATTACTTTGGCACAGATTATAAAGAAAGTGAAAAATATTAGACATTTGAAGATAATCAGTATAAATTCCGTATCTAAAAATTATAAATACGATTTTTTTAAATTTGAGTTACATACCTAGTGCCAGAGAATATTTTAATGGTTATAGCAATATATCTTCTCTGTGCTGAATTTTACGATCGTCTGCAACCGTTCATAAACTTAAGAGTTATTGTCGATCATCTAAAAATAGTCGTTGAAAATTTTCTTTAAAAATTTAATAAAAAATTATTAAAATTGACTTTTGCCAACATAGCATGCGGATGTTTAAATTGGAAGATATTAGTCTCACATTGAACCAAATGAGCTGTAATTTCGTATTATAAGTTCGTATTGCGTATAGCATATTCTTACTAAAATTGATTAATTTTGGTCCACTATTTTGGGTAGCCCCCATATAACGGGATCCCCCTAATGTTGGTTTTTTTGATATTTTGTTTGCAATGTTAACTAAGTTGCCGTATTTTGATTTTAAATACTGCAAATAAATATTTAGTTTTTTTTCTTATATTCAATGCGCCATTTTGAATTCATTTTAATTGATTTTTAAAATCACATTTGTAATCAGTGGGCGTAGCTCTACGAAACATGTTCAAAAAAATTTGATTATTTCAATTTTCAAAAAATTTGACGGCCATTTCGGTTCACCCTATTACATTTTTATGTTTTTCTTGCAGATTCGTAATCATCGTCCTCGAAACCTTTATATTAGAATGGGGATGTACTTATAGATGTACTTATAGATTTCTCGTGAAGTATCGATGAAACAATTTCAGATTTATGCTGGTTCGAAGGGCGACATTTCGCAGTAAAAAAAATAATTTTTCTGTTTTTTGTTTGGTGCATTCAGTTGTGAGTTACAGGGTGTTAAAAATGGAAGTGAACAAAGAGAAAATTCGATACATTTTACAGTTTTTCTTGGACAAAGGTGAAAATGCAAGCCAAGCGGCTAAAATTGTGAATGGTTTTTATAGTTCCGATATCGTAACAGTCAATTATGTTTTATTTTGGGCTCGTAGATTCCGTTCAGGAATTTTTGATATTGAAGATGCACTTCGTACATGTATGTCGAAAATGTCGAAAATGCCAGAAAAATTTAAAAATGGCTAGGAACAAGTACAGTACTCCGATAACACATCTAATTACCAGTGATTTCTCAAATTATAAGTTTATTTTATGCAACTATATCTGTGGTGACACTTCAGCGCGTACGGAGGCTGCAAAAAAACATCAGTTCGTAGAGTAATTTCGTGTAATGTCTAATGTCTATAAAAAAGTGGGACGAGTTCGAAACATGGGCGCATTTAATCTGCGAGAAGGTATTCTATCCTCTGAAAACTCGATATGCGAAATTACAGCGGCTTTGGTTGGATAATGAAGCAAGGATGATGGATGGACATTTTTATAGACAAGTCTATATAATGTTTGATCTAGAATATATTTAGTCAACAAATCTACTATGTTTTTAAAACAATTTGTTTTTATTTTTACCATTATTACGCCCACAATATCAAAAAAATCCACATTACCCGATGTTACTCTATTGATCAACAAATTGTCATAGCAGTAAAAAATACATATTTAAGAGTTCAACGGATTTGGTGAGAGAGTTATCGTTGGATATAACTTCAACAACAGAACGTGGACGGGCTTACATGCCCGGAGACTATCAAGAAAGTTCTTTTGTTTCTGAAAAGAATCGGAAAACCTGATTGCCTTTCGCAAATGCTCATATTAATTGGAATCCAACTCAGCGGTGTAATATTAGCTCTCGGATGAATTAAAGTTTCATGTTAAACACTCAGACATAAAAAAATTACCGGGAAAAAGTCCAAAAATGGAAGGCTCATGCCATGGGAAGCATGGAGGAGGGTCAATAATGGTATTGTGCTTTTTTCGTTTCTATGGAATTTGATATATTTACGAGATTTATTTATGAAGTAATGGATCAGATTGTTCGGTGTTTCAGCTTGACAATAACCTCCGAACATACACTAAAACGTGCAAATATTGGTCACGATCGAGAATGACCCATTTCAGTCAACATTTAAGCCTCATATAACTTTGTATTCTAATTTGCAATATTTGGGGAAATTCTCTGCATAGGCCTATTTTTTGTATATCCCCTAAGGAAGATTCGCCGTTTTTTCTTGCGTCATTTCATGCAACTTTAACTAATTTTTCCAGAATTTTCAATTATTTGTATTTAATAGAAAAAATAAAGGTCATTATTTCTCAACATTACACACTGATAAAGTTTCAAAGAGTGTACAAGCTAAACATTTGCATGAATGTACCTGTACAATGAATGTCCACCAGCATTCATTAATGTTGAATGAATACAGAGAATACAAAATACAATGCATGTGATATTCACTCATTGGACTCATTGATGTTGTATAATTTGTTCTTGTAATCCATCATACTGAATGTTGTGCTTTCGAGTTTGATCGTTTGATTGGACAAAGCACAACGAAGAACAACACAACTTTGGTGGTTGTATTCATTTGCACTCATTAACCCTTTGACGCATCAATTACCGCAACGAAGTTCCCTTCCAACTAAGTACAGTCGACTCCGCTTTACTGAAACGGAAAAAAATCTGGATGTTTGTTTCAGTTATCCGATATTTACACTTAAGCGAAGTTCGGTTAACTAAAAATAATTTCAGTTATCCGAATATGAATTTTAATAATTCATATTTATGAAATTTTATGAAAATAGATGATAGAAATTGAAACTGGTTGACATGTTCACTGCTCAAAGGATTTATATTCTGAACAGTATTTTTTATGCGTAAGGTTCCATACTGTAATATAGGGTTGTAAATGAGTAACATTCTTCCTTGCAAAAATATAGAGTCACATTTTTACATTGCTCCTATTTAAAGTTTAGTTATCATCTTGAAGGCCTTAATAATAACATAGAGTAGTCAAAATTTTGTTAATTTTGTCGATTTCGCATTTCCTCTATGAACGGTACATATTTTGGTTACTTGTATATAAAAAATAGAAATGCGGAATGGAGTTTTTTTTTTAATTTCCAAATGGTTTTAAAAATTTGGCCGAACGAAACCTTAAGTTCGACGTTAAATTTATATATACATGATACATACGTCAAAAAATAATTAATTGCAGAAAAATATCTATTAGGGTGGGCTTTGATGTGTATTCCTCAATGCAAAATATTTTGTCATTATCCTTCACTCTAACAATTTTCAGTAACACGGAGTGATTTGAAAGGAAATTGGATATAGTAAAATTATTTCAGTTATCCGATATTTTCATTATGCGAAGTTTCACTTATGCGGAGTAAATTGTGGGCGATTAACCTAAAATTTAATGGTGCAGGAAATCAATTTCACTTATCCGGTATTTTTCAGTTAAGCGACTTACAGTAAAGCGGATTCGACTGTAAACCGGTTTTGATGCTTAAGAACAGAGTGACTTTCACAAGATGCTATTAAGTCATGCCACAAAATAATTGGAAACATTTGGAAGAGCCGAATCAAATAAGGATTTTAGTCAGTGTTTTGTATTACAATCCGACTATGCTATATATCCTCGATCAGCCATAAAATAAAGGTCTTAAATTATGGATGATATGGAGATGTCTACGATATCATTCCCAGACCTACGGAGTTTAATATTAGAACTCTTTAAGTCTGGGTATGATATCAATTTTATATAAATTAATTAAAGCGTTTCAAAATGCTTTGCGAATTACGTGGATTCCATGAGGATGCAAATGTCGCAAATAATATTCTGGCACATACTCGCACTTAGCTATTTTCGTGTCCACATTTTGAACTAAACTCTAATAAAAAATGTATATTATTTTCCAATTAAATTGTCAATGGACTAAGTCGACATACAATTTTATTCCGATTAAGAATAATTATATTTTATGGGGTCTCCGGTTAAAATTTCGAGGGCTTGAAAATGGAATTTCGTAAAAATATATAAACATACATTGTTTGATGTAATTTTTGGGATAATCCCGATGCTCATACGATATGCCATGGTTGTAACATGGCATATCGGGTTATATTAGGGTAAAAACCCCTGGTATCAGAAATTTCTCTCTGGTCCTAAAAGGTCGACCCGGACGAACTTAACGACGTCCTTAATAAACATTTAGACCTGCCTATACATAAATATGCACTATTATTTTGGCTTTTAACGTCCAGAAAACACATAACTTTTCCACATGACTACTTTTTTCGAAATATCTTCAAAACATATTGAACAAATTTTGAAAAGTATTTTTTTTCACACATCTCCATGGCTAATCTAAAAATATAAGGTGAAAAAATAAAAAATAAATACTTTAAAAGAATTCAATTATTAATAAAAATATATCCACCTTCCTCATAACCATCAAATTGTAAATATTTAGTATTCTAATACTACTTTATGTGAGTTCTGATAAATACAAGGGATTACAAACGACATGGACACGCCGCCTTATAGTGGAGGGTATACAAACAAATCTAAAATGTCGGAAACTATGCATCAACAATATTGCTTGGGCAAGACAACGTTTAATGTCAATTTATATATTTCTAATAAAATAAGTCTGTACAATAAAATAAGACAATCAATTTTGTTTTCTCTTCTATGAAATAAACACACTGACTTAAATACATCCTTCAGGTTTTTCCTCGGCACACAATGTTGTGGCTGCATTGAAATACAATGTACCGGGACATGACATTGTTGTGGACTGCATAACACCGCCTCTAATATAACAGTTTACGTATCTGAAATATAACAGGATTGTGGCATTATTACGTGAGCGCATGATTACCATCCACTTTCCAACTTACCTTCTACAAGTGTTGTCATTTGGATATGGATAACGACCAACGGCTGTTTGTTGAGAGCACAAAACGTCGGCTGGATTTTCGGTTGTCGTTGGCAACTCGGTGGTTGTCAATTCGGGTGTTGTGGTGGGTGTTGGTGCATAAATTGTGGTTGTTGTTATTGGCACTTCAGTGGTAGGAACTTCTGTGGTGGTGGTCGTGGTTGTTGTTGTGGATTCTGTGGTGGTAGTTGGAATTTCTGTTGGGTATTCCGTAGAAGTGGTGGTGATGGGTTCAGCTGGTGTGGTTTCTGGCATACTTGGCTCAGTTGTAATTTCAGGTACTGTGGGTTCCATTGGTGTGGTGGTTTCCTCTGGTATACCCTCTGTGGTTGTTGTCTCGGGTGCATCAATTGCCTTGGTTAGATCACAAAAACTAATGGATCTCTCTTTGCATTCGGGTACACATGGATTTTGTCCTTCCGCGGCCAATCCAGCATCACACATATTAAATTCGGGACATTCGAAACGTAATTCGGAAAGTTTATTTTTCATACACATTGTGTATGTGGTACGACTGGTGCACGTGAACGAACCGTCCGTGGCATCTTCACATTTGCCACAATTTGATGTATCACCACAGGCAGGAACAATATTTTGTGTGGTTTCAGGATTTAAACAAATTTGTCCAAATTTGGTGCAAATATCACCTGCATTGGGACATGTGTAGGTGACAGAAGTGTCGGGTTGGCCTAGAACAGAAAATATTATAGTCAGTTAGCGAACTATAAAGAAGAGAATGAACGTCATATATAGTTATGGTGTCCTCATATAGAAACCATGAAACGTAATTTAAAGAAGACAATTTAAATGAAGACAAACATATTTACAGAAAAGAGTATCCGGACCGGATTCGGATTATTAGTGAGCTATTTAAAACATATATTAAAAAATTTTTTATTCACCAAAACTATAAACATGTGGGTAAGAAAATACAAAACATCGAAAATTACAAATTTTGACCCAAAAGTCTTAAAGTTTTATAGATTCTGGATCTATTGTTTATCCAGAAATATCCGTGAAATCTACGATCAGTCAATAGAAAACATGTGCTGCATCTATGTTAAGATCGGTTGGGACTCAAATTCGAAAATCTATTTCAATTACAAATATTGGGAACATGAAGTATTACTAGGCCTTAATATCGATTTCACATCAACAATTTCCCCTATCGATTTCTGAATTGTACTTACCATCAATACACAAGTGGAATTTCGTTTTACTAATACATGCCGCACCATTGTTTGGATTGCAAACGCCACAAAGGGCATTCACGTTTTGCAGAAAAACAAAACTTAAAATGCAAATAATCTGTTTTGAAAGAAATAAATTAGTTCACTTTTAATATGAAACCGCCATATCTCAGAGATGCGAAAACACTTACAGCAATCTTATGCATACTGATGTGTTAACTATTTTCTTCCAAATTTCGTTTTAATTTGTCTCTTACAATGCTATATCTATTACTGAAGTGTTTCTTGGCACATTTTGAGAATTTATACTACTACAGATTCTGATTTTGAGTCAGCACATAATTATCAAAAACTGTTATCTTTGGAAGATTTTTTTGGCAAAATGAACATCTGTATCTTAAAAGCATATAAATTTATCTTTTATATCTTTCAATGCCAATTGGATTATAAAATTGTCTTAAATATGCAAATAAACAAGTCTCTATTGCCAAAAAAATATATATGTATATATATATATATCTTATTGTCGCCCCACATTTTATTGGTGACTGTATTTTGGTTTCTTGGAAATAATAAAAAATAAATAATTTGTAAAAAAAATACCATAATGCGGAAATTAAAATGCCGGTAATGATTGTAATTAAGTACAATAATTCAAACTTTTACAACACATATTGACACGTTAACAAATTTAAACAAACGAGGAAGTTACTTAAGGATAAATTTTGTAATGCAGTAGTCGGACAAATTCTACTTTTTATACTCTACAGAACTATGATGGGTTTTGTGTATGGAGCCTAGTAGGTTACATACGAGAAAATTCAATACAAATTAACTCTCAGGGTGGGAAACTGGGCTAGAAATTTTATCGTACCGATTATTATACGGGGGTTGTTAAAAAACCAGGACCTATATTAAAATTTGCTGGGAAGAATTTTTTGTTTAATCGGTATCTGGAATACTGAAATGGGGTGTAAAGTAAGGCGCCTAAAATCATCAAAATACGGTGTCGATATAGATAGAGTAACTTCGGGTACCCTTCACCACAATGTGGTACAGGGTATTATGTCTTTGTGCATATGTTTGTAACAGGCAAAAATAATCGAGATAGACCCATGGTTCCTTTTGAGAATATACATAGAATCACTTTCTAAGTCGATTTATGCATGTCCGTCCGTCCGTCTGTCCGTCCATGTATTTTTGTGAGCAAAGTACAGGTCGCATTTATGATCCGAATTGGATGAAATTTGGCATAGGTCACTTATTCGGCCAAAGGACGAACCTTATTGAAATTGGGAAAAATCGGTTCAGATTTAGATATAGCTCCCATATATATATATTTAACCGATTTAATGTAAACGGTCCCTATATATCTTTCGGTTTGCACGAAATTTGGTGCAGCCTAATCATTTAAGTCTAGAATGATGTCTGCCAAGTTTCGTAAAAATCGGTCCAGATTTAGATATGGCTCCCATATATAGTTTCGTCCGATTTCATGTAAATGGTGCCCCAAAGTCCCTATATATCATTTGATTTGCACGAAATTTGGCATAAGCCTAGAGTGACGTCTGCCAAGTTTCGAGCAAATCGGTCCAGATTTAGATATAGCTCCCATATATAGTTTCGCCCGATTTCATGTAAATGGTGCCCCAAAGACCCTATATATCTTTTGATTTGCACGAAATTTGGCATACCGTACTGAATTAAGCCTAGAGTGATGGCTGCAAAGTTTCGAGAAAATCGGTCCAGATTTAGATATAGCTCCCATATATAGTTTCGTCCGATTTCATGTAAATGGTGCCCCAAAGTCCCTATATATCTTTCGATTTGCACGAAATTTGGCATAACGTGCTGAATTGAGTTTAGAATGATGTCTGCCAACTTTCGAGAAAATCGGTCCAGATTTAGATATGGCTCCCATATATAGTTTCGTTCGATTTCATGTAAATGGTGCACCAAAGTCCCTATATATCTTTTGATTTGGACGAAATTTGGCATACCGTACTGAATTAAGCCTAGAGTGATGTCTGCCACGTTTCGAGAAAATCGGTCCAGATTTAGATATAGCTCCCATATATAGTTTCGTCCGATTTCATGTAAATGGTGCACCAAAGTCCCTATATATCTTTCGATTGGCACGAAATTTGGTACAGCCTGATCATTTAGGTCTAGAATGATGTCTGCCAAGTTTCGTGAAAATCGGTCCAGATTTAGATAGATATAGCCTCTTTTATTATAGATTGATTTTAAGTAATTGACGCACCATATATATTTTCGCCGGATTTCAAGTAAATTTGGCAAACTCCTCATGTTAGACAGATTGACATCAAAGTTTGCACATCGTACAAAATTGAGCATAAAATTATATAGTTGCGTTTTCTAGAAGTACAGACATAGCCCTACGGATGACCTATTTATATTTGTTTGAAGTCGATTTACATACTTTATGGAGAGATCTAGGTAGATTCACATTTAGATAAATATCACATATTTTATTTCATCCAATTTCATGCTAATAGTCCTGTGTAATATACCCATAATGGTGAAGGGTATCATATAGTCGGCCCCGTCCGACTTTACTACTTTCCTTACTGGTTTTGATATTGTGGGCGTAACAACGGTAAAAAATAAAAACAAATTGTTTTCACAGCATGGTAGATTTGTTGGCTAATTATATTCCAGGTCAAAAATTATATATATTTGTCCATAAAAATGTTATTGCATTATATTTCAAAAAGCTCTAAACTGCAAATAAAAAAAACTTGGCGGGTAATGTGGACCAGTATGTGTGGGTAATGAGGATCAGTAAGTTAAAGGTAGTTTGTGGATAAATTGTGATAAATTTCAATTTATTGCACTCATGGGTAACAATGAATGCAAAAATATATGGGTCCATGTTTTGGAATAGCCCCCAATTAAGGGTACCACCTCATTTGCGGTATTTTGAAGGTCCTTGCTTCATTATCCAACCGAGGCACCTATAATTTCGGATATCGAGTTTTCAGAGGATAGAATACCTCCTCGCATATTAAATGCGCCCTTGTTTCGAACTCGTCCTCATGAAAATGTCCCACTTTTTTATAGTGGTCCACATTACCCGACATTGAATATTTTTATTTAAAAATAATTATCGACTTCAAAAATGAATAAAAATTTAAAAATAACCGAAAGTAATTACAGATAAACGTGTATTTTTGTTAAAGAAAACAAGAAAACCACATAACCTCTTTATATTTGAGAAAAACAAAATGTTCGACTATGTTACAAAATCGTTCGACTATTGTGCTAAAAAATTTTCAAGTCACACTTTTAAAATCGGAGCTACATTTTCACCTACTAAATTTTAAACATTGCAATTATTTATTAAGAACCAAGTTTGATGTTTGTTTTCACTAATTAGGAAAACATTTATCAAGGCGGCATTGGCATATTTCAAGCATTTTCTTAGAAATGGGGGGTGGTCCACATTTGACGCATGGTCCACATTACCAGAAGTTACTCTACGTATAAGATACGAACTTTGAAATTTTGAACTGATATTGTATTGATAAGGAGATATAGGATATCATCATATATCAGACCACTTTTTAGGTATTTTGGATTCTTAATGCTTATAAAATTTTCAATATAATATAATGCTAAATAAAAAATATTGATCCATTTTTAGGGTAACCCCAATATAATGCTACATAAAAAATGTTTGTATTTTGGGAAGATTTGGGAAGATCATTGAGTGGAAAAGCTCTCTAGCAAAAAAATGCATTATTTTCCCTCGTTTCCGTGTAGAATAATAGCGGTATCACCCCCTATAACAGGGGTATCACCTCCTATAACAGGGGTATCACCCCCTATTATTCGGTTATTTGGAGGTTTTTGTGCCGTTATTCAACCGAATTGACTCTAATTAGATTTTTCAGGTTTTCATAGTGTGTCGAATCTTTATTAAAAATTGTCAATATTGCTTTGCGTTCTAGTACAGCTCCAATGTAACAGTGTCAAGGAAAGTAGTAAAGTCGGACGTAACCGACTATATGATACCCTTCACCACTTTGAGTATATTCAACAGATTCATCTTTATATAATTATAAAATTTTGTGCCTATCGGCCATATTTTGGGTCTTTGTTCATTATTGGTTTAAAATCGGACAAATATATATATATATATATAAAAGAACCGATTTCAACGAAACTTTACACACGTTAGTTTATACTAACATCAGTGCTTTGTCAATCTGCCATATTTTGAAGCTTTGGTGCACCATTTACTGAAAATCGGACGAAACTATATATGGAAGCTATATCTAAATCTGAACCGACTTCAGCAAAACTTGGCACACCTTGTGTTATAATAACATCAGTAAGTTGTGCAACATTTTGTGTCAATCGGCCATATTTTGGAGTTTTGGTGCACCATTTACAGAAAATCGGATGAAACTATATATAAGAGCTATAACAAAATCTAAACCGATTTCAACAAAACTTGACACACGTTATGTTAT